AGTCTGAAGAAACGAGGCGTGAGTGGGGGGGCCAGCAACTTGCCCGGCTTCCCTCCGGCCAGGTGTGGGCACGACCCCGGGGTGTCCGCACAAGTGCAGTGGGTGGAAACACAGCCGCGGTTGCGTGGAGTTCAAGGCTCGTCGTGGGTCCACGAGTCACGGACGGAAGCATTTTGGGGGACAGCGTAAGCGTGTGTTCACAGAGCCGAAAAGCCGTAGCTTCAGCGTTGCCCTCTTGTGACCTGAAACTTCTCCGCGACAGTCGCCCACCAGCCCGTGACGGAACTCCGTGATGAGCACACACGCGCACCCACGCCCACGGTTAGCTCTCGGCCGCGGCCCCGCTCACACGTGGAGTGCCAGAGGCCTCCCGCCTGCCGGGAGGGGCCGCCCCGTGGCACACACACCACCTCCTGCACCCTGTTCCCCGAGCCGACACAGCGCGGGTGTGGGCCGCGTTCTGGCCCTCCCCACCCGTGGCCCAGATCCTTCTCTGTCCACCGGCCGAGTCCACGCTGGTGCTAAAGCCGGGGGTGGGGGGGGGGGCGGCACCACCGTCGCACCCCAACCAGAGCGCGCCGACCGGCTCACGGGGCCGGGTGTGCAGGTGGGGTGGCCGTGGCCATGGGCGCCAACGGGGACCTCTCCTGGGGACCTCGCCGTGGCCGTGAGCCGCGGCCTCTGGGGAGGGTGGTGTACGGCCGCCCCTCGCCTTCGGGCCCACAACGTCCCGGGGACCCCGGGCCAGCCCTGCCCACTGGAGGACAGCCAGGCAGGGGCCGGGTTCAGTGGCTCCTGATTAGTTAGGAATGTCACACAATGACATGAATGACAATGAAGTAGAGGACAGAGGACACTGGCTGACAGGCCGACAGGGTAACTCTGGTCACGCGAGCCGGCTGGCGAAGGAGGAGTGTAGCTTTCTTGGCTGCCCCGTGTTTTGCTGGATTAATGTAAACTGCTTTGTTTGCAGGGCTTATTGTCATCCCAAAACCAGGCCAGCTCTCCAGGTGGAACTGTAGTATAGTGACCCACGCGGTCCTGAGGGAGCGACGGACAGAGGCGGGAGCCCCGGGCGCGGACACTCGCGGAGGCAGCTGTCACCCGGAGTCGTGGGAAGACCCTCGGGGCCCGCTCGAAACCGCCTTCTCTGCCACTCACCCAAAGAAGCCATTGCCATTTTTAAATCGTTCTTGTGGGGCTGCAGTAAAAAATAAGAAATGGGATTTTCTTGCTTTTTACTCGAAAGTTCAATGTAATTAAAATCTCACATATATATGTGTGTGTGTGTATATATCCATCCATATATATATATATATATATAGTATATACATACACACATAGTGTAAAACGTTTCTTGGACAAGAAATCCCCTTAAACTCAACTCTTACAAATAGCACTTCACTCTGGTTTTGCACTGATGTCTTTATACTTAGGTGGTCAGAAGGCAACGCGGAGGGCACTCGTGAAAGTTGTCACCTTCTGACGGGAATCTGCCATTCAGGACGGTGGATGCTGCGATCTGAGATCTTCACAAGTCGTTTGCACTTAAAATAGTTCACTGCTGTTAGGAAATGACTTTAAATATGGGTCTCACGGACTCACGGCCCTCCAGGGTGTATAGATGCTTTTTAATCTTAACATTTATTTTAATACTGTTGTTTCCAGTGTAGTCTGGCTCTGTATTATATGTACAAATAATGGAATTCTGCTTCTGGGGGACGTGGTTATTCAGTAATTTTCATCAATTTAAGAGTGATATTTCTAATTCATGAAAAAAATAATATTAAAACTATCTTGAATACACCATTTGTTTATCTTTTGTCAAGTCGGCTCCGCTTTTTTTTTTTTTTTTTT